CGTTGTATTATACTCAATTAATGACAATGCAAGTTTGTAGATCCAAAGGTGTCCGCTCATAATTTCGTGTTTACTAAGCTTATATTAATTTAGCTTAGCACCAGATCGATTTTTTGGAAAATTGGGTTTGGACAATATAACCCAGACGTGGCTGTCAGATATTTCTGCAACCACATCACCCCTGACACCTAACTAACCATTCATTGTAATACCAAAGATGAAGAGAAAGCAAGGATTATGGTAGCATTCACCAACTTTCATTGTAGCATTCAACAACAAAGAGACCTCCCACAAGTGTTGCATGGAATTTTGAAGCCATCTTGCGGTCGTCTTCGAAGCCCATAAATTGGCTCTTAAGTATTTTCAAGATATTTTTGTGCAATTTTGTAAATATGTCTGATGAAATAAAATGTCAATGTTGATTTCATTTTACATAATTTAGATGACAATTTTTGCATCGCACCTTATATATATATATATATATATATATATATATATATAGTTGGACAAAATGAAACCGCATAATATAAGCAGGCTTGTGGTGTGTATACGCAGGCAAGCAAATAAATAATCGTTAAATTTATGGATGAGGTGTAAACGTAATTGCGCTCAATGTGGTTATACAGAGCAAAGATATGTATTATTTAGTACATATATGCGTACCTACTTTTTTGGCGTGCAACTATAGTTTCACTGGTGTTCCCAGGAAATGCCAAAAACGTAGGTACGCGTATATGTACTAAGTATATATATATATATATATATATATATATATATATATATATATATATATATATAGCGAGAGATAGCTATATAGATAATTCATGAATTTTATAAGTATCCGGCACACCATGATATTTTATAAATATATTTGATCAGAAAATATTACATTTTTGAAGTACGATTTAAATTCAGAAATATTTATAGTCATGTCTATGACGTGACATTAGTAGTAATAGATAAGAATATTCAATTAATTATTTGGGAATAAATTTATCGCTGGAATTTTAGGAGTTAATTTTGCATGAGAACTAGTGTTTTTTTAAAACTCGGTATCTTTCGTATTAATTCAAAGTTTCAGGCCAATTCTTTCTTTAATTTGTTGGTTTACCCTTTCAAGGACCATTTTCCTAATGTGAGCTGGTAACATAAATATTATATTTGATATGAAAAAAATACATTTACTTGTTTTTAAAAAAGAAATATAGTCTCTTTAGTAATTAAGAGTAAAATTATTTTAAAACTGTAGTTAAATAAAACGTATTCTAACACAACAAACCTAAAAAGAATCTTCAAGAATACAAGTAAGGAAAAAATGCCGAAAACTTTTTGCCGTTAATAAAATAAAAACCAGACGGCATGCATTTAACGGATGTCAGAATTCGTTGAACAATACACCCCTACCCTCTCTAAACTTAACCACTTTTTCGAACGTAACTCATAATTGATACAACAATAGTTAATAAAAATGAACACGTTACCGCTCCTGTCTGAATGATTGAATTTCTCTGTATCCTTGGGAACAGCAAATTATGAATTTATATGTGCGTTTAAAACTCAGTAAATTTAAAAAATAAGTTATTCCAATATTCGCTTGAAGATGAAACGGAACTAATGCTTTTAATTTAATTATATAATTAATTTTAAAGTTTTTAGCTTCCATTTTTGAAACATGGGTAATACTGTGTAGCGAAAAACATATTTTCAATCAGTTAATTTATAATATTTATGGTCTGTAAATTTATATTGAACACTGTTTTGTAAAATAAAAAATAAAAATTATCAATAAGAACACTTGATTATATATCTTACTGTTCTTTTTTTTATATATATATATATATATATATATATATATATATATATATATATATATATATATATATTTATACGTTCATTAAATAATATAGACAAGTGTTGTATTTTATGTAAATTTTTCGTAACATCTGATAAGTTTAATAACATTATCGTTAAACGAAGAAAGATATTCACAATATGTGACGTCATGAGATGCGGTGCGATTTTCACTTCTAGCGTCTTATATGCGCGTGTTTATCGTTGCTTAGTGATCAACTATGTAAACAATGACAGACTATCATCACTGTCGTGTCCATATATTGTTTAATATGTTTGTAATTTACATCTTTGATAATGGCTTAAGTAAGCCGAAAGCTTAGATTATATTAAAAAAAATATGGATCAGTATTGTGAATATCTTTCTTCGTTTAACGATAATGTTATTAAAATTATCAGATGTTACGAAAAAAATTTACATAAAATAAATAGACAACACTTGTCTATATTATTTAATGAAACGTGTATAAATGAAAATATGCTGCCTAAATACACAATATATATATATCTATATATATACACACACATATATATATATATATATATATATATATATATATATATATATATATATATATATATATATTTGAATTTATTCGTTACTTTCATCAATAAACACACCCACTCTTATAAACATATGTGAGTGCGTGCTTTACACATCTCTTTGAAGATAGTGTTCAACTGACGGACTGATAATGGTTCACTCCGAGCGCCAATTTGGAGACGAACGGCGTTAATGGGAATCAGCATAATAAATTAGTGTGTAGTATTAATTGTGCCATTTTTCTTTCATTCCACTTGCTCCATTTTTTATCCAAATGCACTTTATAGCTTAATAATACATTAGACATTAACTATTAGCATTAAACCATGAATCAGTTACTATTACTGAAAAAATGACGTTGGTTACCGATAAGATGGTAATATATGACATGGATTTTGATTGCTTAAAACCTTTTACATACGAACATGATCACCTCAGTTGCTCGCAGCCAGTATGTTGTCGGAACTTCGCTGTCAACACCCTGAATCACACATGGAACATATATTCTCTGTCTATAGTGTGTGGGAGACTGTCCAAACATCGTTGGGGCGGTTGTCGATACAAGAATCCTTCGAGAATTTCTCGTTTACACTACCTGATGCATGTGTGAGTTTACATACTTCTCAATGGATGGGACTGATCCAAGGTGAATTCTCTGATGCATCCAGCTTCCTTCGACCATCTGGTGTGATATTTGAATGCGACGTCAATACCGGTATATCAATTAAAGAAAAACTGAATGCGGAATTGTAATCTTCCTTTATATTTTTAGATGTTGTCCACTTTTGGGAAGTTGTTTCGAATGTTGTTTCAAATGTTGTTTCGAATGTTGTTTACAGAGGTGGTGAACACGCTAGATACGCCGCTGTAAATTGCAATCCCATTTTTTTTATTTTTCTCTCCCAAGCAAGTAAAATAACTTACGTGCGCGATGAAAGATCATGTTTATATGAATAAAATAATGTTAAAATAATAGGATTCTGTCCGATTTGAAAAGGAGTTGAGGAAAAATATAAAAATTGGATTGAATGACAAATCAAAAATGCAATCAAACTAAAAAAGCAAATTATTTAGAATGAACAGAATCGAAAATAATTTTAAAGATCATTGACAATGAAAGGAAAAAGAATAATAAAAAAATAATGTGAATTCACAAAAATTAAGAAGAAAAAATATAAAAGAACAAAAGACGAATAAAAAGGAATTAAATAATAAAGATATGGAGAGTGAAAAGTTGAACGGTTGTAAATGGAAGAAAGAAAATTGCAATAACAAATTAAATAAATTAATAAATAAATCTACAGGAAACAATTGGACGAATGAAGCCATCAAGATTATCAAAAAATAAAGAATAAATGGAGTGAATACAAACAGCTGTAAAAATTCAAAAATTGAAGAAACGTAAAAGAAACGTAAAACAATGAAAGGGGGACAAATAAAAAATTAGAAAAAAAAAATTAAATAAAAACCAAATGAATCAAATATTCGGCATAAAAGCAAATTAGTAAACAGAGAAGTGAAAGTAAAAAAGGAAGGAGGAAGCAAATTAGAAAAAGCACCTAATCAAGGAAAAAAGAAAGAAAGCAAGAAATAAAGAAAAAAGAAAGAAAGAAAGAAAGACAGAAAGTAAGAAAAAGAAAGAAACTATTATGATGTGCAAAATAGTCAAATATTAGTCAAATATAAAGAATTAAAATCTGAGAAGGAAAAGCTAGTATAAATAACAAAAAGATAGAAAGCGTTTGTGAAAATACAAAAGAAAGACCGACAACAAAAATATTAAATTTACAAAAAAAGAAAAGGAAATTTTGAGAATTAAAAAGAAATATAAATATAAAAACGTAAATATATATATATATATATATATATGAATATATATATATATATATGTATATATAATAATAATAATAATAATATTAATAATAATAATAATAATAAAAAAATAAAATAGATAAGCAAAAGCATTAATGAATAAAAGAAAGTAAGAAAGAAAGAACAAAAAAGAGGAAATGATAGAAAATAGACGAAAAGAAAGAAACGAAAATAAAAGGAGTAACACACACACACATATTTGATATATATATATATATATATATTCACTTTCATATAGATGATGATGATGATGATGATGATGATGATGATGATAAAATCTAGTTACAGTATAAAATCACCAAAATAGTAAAGAAGATAATAATCGCCTGCAAATCAAAACTGTTATAAATCTGAAGATGAGAAGCCAAAATAAAGCCTGGGAATAGTAAAACACGTTCGGAAATTATTAATCAATAAAAAATAAAATTAAATAAAAATGTATAACGATGAGAAGATGACGAGCTGTAATGAACGAAAGAAAAAAAAAACAAACAAACAAAAAAAACAAGGGTGACCAAGAATACGGAAGTTGTACGCTGCCTCTCGGGGCACCATGAGTAAAATCAAAGACAACGGAGGGAAAAAAAAAAGAAAGAAAAACCACTACAAAGCCTCGCTAAAAAAAGATTAAGTGAAAGCGAAATCTATACAAAGCTGAGATTGAAGATGATTGTGTGCAATCGATTTAGCATTTGTGAACTATTTGTGTTGAGGGCAATGAGTAGTTCACTTGAGCAGCCGTAGATCATACTAATTTAGTGCGAAGCAAGACTTTTTATTTGTCTGTCTGGCCACTGACTGGTCGATGTTATCATTTCTAGAAGAGTTCAAATATTAACAGGAAGTGGAAAAGGGGCGTTGATTTGGGAATGAGAAATGAAAGGGAGAAATAAAGATGTCGGAAGTAAAAATAGGAAATGGTGACAAAGGGAAAAAATGAATGAAAAAGGCAGGAAAGAAAGAAAGAAGGAAAAAAATAAAGATTATAAAAAAAAATAGTAATATAAAGTAAGGTAAGGAATGAATGATTGAATGAAGAAATGAATGAATGGTTAAGTGAATAAAAGAAAGATATAGAATTTAGTAAGTAATTAAGTAGAAGAAATGAACTAATTAAATACTGAAATAAGACATATTGTGAACGGATTTACTCGCCATTTTCTGTCTCTGAAGAATGGAGCCAACAATTAAATTGAACGAAATAGTAGCCTTCCAAGGGAATTAACTCCTGCGTCTTCTTTACTGTATTACACAAGTGGTGTTAAGTATCTTCTATGTGTATGCCATGGTGTTTCAAGACGACACAACCGGTTTTCGAGATTTTCCAAATACTGGATACTTTCAACAATAACGTGAGAGATAAACGCATAATACATAAAAGCAAAAAAGAAAAAGAAAACAAGAACCATATTGAGAAAGAAAGAAAGAAAGAAAGAAAGAAAGAAAGAAAGAAAGAAAGAAAGAAAGAAAGAAAGGATAAATATTTAAGTCAGAAAATATTATGGATAAAGAATTCATGATATACTAAAGTAAGTAAAATAAATGACAAGAAAAAAATGACGGAAAAGAAAGAAAAGAAGTCAGCAGAGAGAAAAAAAAGAGAGCAGGAAGAAATATAGCAATAAACAAGAAGAATGATGAACTTGAAAAATATGCTGGAATTATTTACATTACTTGGACTTCATTGCCTTATTTACAACTGTGGCCTGGTATTAAACTCACAACTCTTTGGGTCTACTCACTGGATCTAACCCCACAGCAGTGGTGAACCAAAAACTCGAAGAGTTCAGTTAAAGGAACATAACTGAGACATCCATAAGAGTCATCTCACGAGAGACTAGAGCAATCTATCCGGGCGGACGAAATAAAGGGTTCGATTCAATAATTCCAATCACTTGAAGAAGGCTGGAGCGTACAACGGCCGAAACGTTGTGAATATGACAATGAAGACGAGAATAAAAGTACGAATAATGTAAATAATGCAAGTAATCAAAATAGCTCATCTCAGAGATATAGACAGATATATAGAAAGACATAGACATAAAGGCCGGAGCGTAGAACGGCCGGAGCATAGAACGGCCGAAACGTTGTGAATATGGCAATGAAGATGAGGATAACCGTACGAATAATGTAAATAATTGAAATAATCATAATACCTCACCTCAGAGATATAGACAGATATTGAAGAAAAATTTCAAACACATGAAGAAGGCCGGAGCGTACAATGGCCGAAACGTTGTGAATATGACAATGAAGACGAGGATAACAGTCCGAATGATGTAAATAATGCAAGTAATCATAATAGCTCATCTCAGAGATATAGACAGATATATAGAAAGGCACAGACATAAAGGCCGAAGCGTACAACGGTCGAAACGTTGTGAATATGGCATTGAAGGTGAGGACAACATTCCGAATAATGTAAATAATTCAAGTAATCATAATACCTCACCTCAGAGATATAGACAGATATTGAAGAAAAATTTCAAAAACATGAAGAAGGCCGGAGCGTACAATGGCCGAAACGTTGTGAATACGACAATGAAGACGAGGATAACAGTTCGAATAATGCAAATAATGCAAGTAATCAAAATAATTCATGTCAGAGATATAAACAGATATTGAAGAAAAAATTAAATCATCTGAAGGCCGGAACATACAACGGTCGAAACGTTTTGGATATGGCAATGAAGATGAGGATAACAGTCTGAATAATGTAAATAATGCAAGTAATATTGTAAGCAACGTCATCACAGAGATAGAGACAGATATTGAAAGAAAATAGAGTAAAGGAAAAAAAGGAGGGATAAAAAGAGAGAAGAAAATATCGAAATGAATAAATAATAAGAATAAAATACTGAAAGAAAGAAGTATAAAAAAAAGAAAAGACAAAACTAAAGAAATGACGAAAGAGAAACAAATATTTAAGGAAAGAAAAAAGACATTAAAAAGAGATGAAAAGGAGACGACATTGGAAGAATTAAAAAAGAAATGAAAAGAAAAAAATGATGAACAGATTGAGAAGAAAGAATGATGAAAAAAAAAAGAATCAAAGAAAATAAGAAAGAAAGAAAGAAATGACGATAAATGACAGGAATTAACGAAACGACTAGAAAGATAGGAAGAAATTATAAAAGAAAGAAAAACAATGACGAGGAAAGAGAAAGAAATGACGAAAACGAAAGAAATAAGGCGAAAAAATGATAAGGAAAGAAAGTTGATTTTGTGCTCATAGAACGAGGCGAAAACTCATCTATTTTGAAGTAAGGTCGTTTGGGAAGGACAAATTTAAAGCTAACATTGATTGCTTGGATAGTTGATAAGAACTTGTCTCAGGAGTTAATATGAGGAGACTGTCCCTTGAGAAAAGAGGGAAATAATAAAAAGATAGAATTGCTCAGTAATTTTGTACGTTGGCTTAAGATCTGATCAGAAATATATATATATATATATATATATATATATATATATATATATATATATATATATATATATATATATATATTACGTTCGTATATAAATATGTGCGTCGGATTGTTTGGACAAGTATGTATTTTAAGATGCATATCATTTTAAAAACCTATGGAGTAGATGTATATATCCAAGGTACACGTAAACACACACATATAAACATATTGATTCAGCTTTGTCAATATATATATATATATATATATATATATATATATATATATATATATATATATATATAGAGAGAGAGAGAGAGAGAGAGAGAGAGATGAGTTTTCAACGTCGTGTGTAGTTTTAAAGTTTCATGTCTTCATTTGTAAAATAGATACAATCAATCAGTCAAATGTAAGTGAAAAATACTTTATAATAATTCTATTCTTTAGACTTAAATCTTAATTATATATCCAAATCGTGAAGCTTTTCTGTGATGAGAAATAAGTTTTTATGTATTCAAGTAAATACAGGAATTATAAATAAATATTAAAATTAAATATATAATCAAATTATATTAACCTTACTGAATTCAGCCTTTCAATGAGTTTAATATTATCATTTTCTATACTGTTGCAGATATTTAAATATACACAAGTATATCACAATAAATTTGCATTAAAAGATGTCCCACAAAACGCACCCAGAAAGATAAGGGCCAGATAGTTTTAAAATGAGTGGAGTAGTTGTCTATCGTAGACGTAAACACACACTTACATATAAATATATTGTTTCTGTTTTTTTGTCTATATATATATATATATATATATATATATATATATATATATATATATATATATGTGTGTGTGTGTGTGTGTGTGTGTGTGTGTGTGTGTATGTGTATGTATGTGTGTGTGCAAATATAGAAAAATAGGAGAGAACCGTTAGGTTAATAATTCAAAGTTCTTTAGTATTTTTGGTTTTATTAAAAAAAAAAGTGCTCAATACATAAGTAGAACACTGAACACTTTTTTTAAAAATAAAAACCCAAAATACTAAAGAACTTTTGATTATTAACCTAACGGTTCTTACCCGTTTTTCGATATTTGCACACATATATCGGTTCCCAAATTAAGGTTGAGCGCTGTGAATCTTTATTTTGAAAATAAGTACTCTTTTTTTGTCTATATGATAAAATTATAATTAATATATATATATATATATATATATATATATATATATATATAAATGGTGCAGTATATATAATAATATAAAGAAGTAATCATACAAAAGAAGTAATCAGTAAAGTTAATGTAATTAATGGTGAAATCACTTCACTGACAGATTCAATAAATCCTTAATTTACTAAACACTCGTATAAATGACAGGATCCTTATATTTAAAATTGTGAGATGGATTAGATATTCCGTTGCTAGTACTTTCGAAAACATTCACGATGGTCAGGCATTTATATTGTTTTAATTTCAGGTAAGTTTCCAAGACAAAACTAAATGTATTGGATGCCGAAAATAATACGTTCCGAAATTCAACAGTTAATAAATAGCACACTCATAAAAAAAATAAAAATTCGGGCTGCTATACATTTATTTTCGATTACAGTCTGTTGTTTGTGATTCTGTAGCGTCATTCCATGAGATTCGATGAGGGATTACTACGTTTAATCGTTTCACCATTCACCCCGAATAAGTGATAAAGCCACGAAGACACAAAGGGTTACTCTATGTGAAAGAATATGAGAAAAACATTAATTAGGGAAGAAAACAAAATAACATGAATTTAGGCGGCACAATGTAACGGTTGATACAGCATTGGTATTTTTGAAGCTGAAAAATGATTGGAAAAAATGAGGCCGGAAGAGAATCCTACATGCCGGAAGTCAAAGAAAAGTAACTGTTAGCATAAAGATTAAGGTTACATCTAGTAAATTCAACAGTAAAATGATGAGACCGAGCCAGCTTTATAGTATTGTGCGTATATTCAGAAAATCGAGGTACAGAAGAGGAAGGTTCAATGGAAAAAATTACTATGAAAGTATTTATAGAAAAGGATCGGAAAAGCTACGATAAAGCGGTAGGAAACCGACTGATGCCAAGATGCCAGATCAGGACCGATAATATTGCTGATTCTTTTTTGTATTTTATCTAGAATCTGTAAACACGTAGCAGAATCAGCAAATCAGAAGCGGTAGTAATATTCAAGACGAAATATATACTTATGATGTAAGATAGATTTTGGTAAGAAAAACAGCTTAGCCTGATACGCTGAATCAAATTTCCGAGCACCAGACTTAGCAGTTAATTCAATATAATATCCTAACTACATTTCAGTGATAAACGTTAACGCAATATCTTAATGGTAATTGTTCAGGCTAACAATTGGTATTTCAACTTAACGAATCTAAAAGAAATACTCGTCAGATATTTCTCATCGATTTACAGATTAAATTAATAGATGAAACCATAAGATCAATGTTAACAGTTCCTTCTATTCTCGATTGTGGAAAACACTTCCATATTTATATGGAGGCACGGAGGAAGGATTACCTTCACCACTATAATCAAAATATATGTGTTGGTTCTAAGAACCAATATATATATATATATATATATATATATATATATATATATATATATATATATATATATATATATATATATAAACAAATATATGGATATAAATCCGACAGTATGAAAAAAAAAATATATACGGAAAAAAACAAACAAAAATCCTTATATACAATTATGCTGTTTTAATGTTTATGTCAACGTCGGACGTTTCGGTCTAATAAACCATCTTCAGGACATATTCATAAATTATAACATTATCAATACAACGTGACAAAGACGATGTACATAAGAAAAAGACTTATCCAAACAGAATAATTGAAAATTTTTAGATCAATATAGAATTTTTTCATTTTTCATTCAAAATACTCAAATTTTAGGAATACGTTTTCACAGCGTCGCCCACGTGACGACAACGTGACCATGTTTTAAACAGAGCGCTGATCTTATAAAAATATATATATATATATATATATATATATATATATATATATATATATATATATATATATATATATATATATATATATATATATATATATATATATATATAAACGGAAATATACTACTGCTACCACTACTATTAATAATAATAATAATAATAATAATAAATACTACTGCTACATAATAATAATAATGTTTAAATGTATTATAATATAATTTTCCATTGCGGACTGGAAAAACTTTTGCACATTACATACTTATGCTATACGCGTTTGCAGTGAATTAATTTGAATTCTAGGATTTCTACATAACACCAGGTTTTTCGCCAAAAATGTGACGTTTCAAAGTACTTGAACAAAAAGCGGAAAAATATTAAATGGAAAAAAATACAAGACAAACCTTGTCGGTTGAATTGATCAAAATTGTTTAAATTAATTCTTCCTGACTAAATATGCTTTACATATCTAAGAATTGGCCATAGGCAAGAGTCTGTGATTACAATATGCTATATATTAAACACCACTTTAATATTAGCATTCGAAATTATGCTATTTAGTTTTAATTAACGTTAACCGAATACAAGACGCAAGGGCTATCCACGGTTGAGTATCGAATGTCGATTAATGGATAATTGTGGTATCTACAGTTAAGGCAACCTTCACAAAGCCCAGATATTGATTGATAGATTCACTGACTATATGCTTAAAATATAGATTTGATCACGTTTCAGCTTCAATGAATGTGATTGCAGGCAATAGATATTTAACTGACAGGCAGGTGCCATTTTTTATTTCAAAGGTCAACGCATATCTATTGACAATTATATGAACATTTTTACAGACCTTAATAATGATGTGCTTCAAATGATAATGAAGATAATTTTCAAAATACTAACAAAACCATAGTTTGATAATAAAAATTGACAATTTCAATGGACAATTTCTATATTCTTTAACTTTTGTTAAACGGGAATATATACATACATACATACATACATATATATATATATATATATATATATATATATATATATATATATAGAGAGAGAGAGAGAGAGAGAGAGATAGATAGATAGATAGATAGATAGATAGATAGATAGATAGATAGATATACTTTAAAAAATTACGTTTTCATTATTAGTATTTTCACGCTGAACTAATATGCAACGCAAATTTTTTGTTTTTTGTAAAGGTAGAAAAAATATCCGAGATGAATATATTACATTTAACTTGAATGATATTTGAGTCAGCCTTTTCCACTTCCGAATAACTTTCTCCCATATGGGTTGTGATATTACTCATCGCCTTTGGCTTCTCGATTGAATTCCACTTTGACTTCTCATGAGACGTTCATTGTTAAAACCGATAAGATCAAAAACAAAATCAGACAAATAAGTCACTAAATAGCAAAACAGTTTTTTGTTACTTATTTTTATACATAATTTTTGTTAGTTTATTTTTTAGTCAGTTTCTTATTTTGTATTTTATCGGAGTAAATATTGACTCTTCGAGGATGCAGTTGAGAGTAGAAAAGTAGGTCATTATTAGATCACGATATTTTCTTTATTGAGTGAATTTCTCTCGTTCTTCACGAGTAATACACCCATGCTAATCTGACGGGCACATATTCATACATACACACACACACACACACACACACACATATATATATATATATATATATATATATATATATATATATATATATATATATATATATATATGTATAGTCTTAAGGTGTACTATATTTATGGGATAAAGTGCTCAATATCAAAGATGGAGCGTGTGTAATTATAAAATGAACAT